GCAGGTCCTGATGACGAAATCTCAGTTTTGTTGGTTTCTTCCAAGCTAGTACATTTTTGAATCGCGGCTTAGTGGAACGCTGGTGTGCAGTTCGGCAGTTTGCGTGGCGGCGTAATCACATTGTGGTGTTGCTCGATTCAGAGGAACAATGCCAGTAATAGGAAGAAAACTTGAAAGAATTTTAATGCTCTGGTCTTCGTAATCAATCAAGACTGGTACCTCGCAATATATGTGACGTACAACACATTGACAACGTTAACTGTTTACACATAATAAAAGTACTAAACATGTGCGAACAATGTAAGCGGGCTTGTGTGGGTCCGAACGACACACTTGCACCAACTGAACTACAACACCATTATTGATTTTCGAATGGCCTTCTACTATTCTTGTCAACTGAAAGCAGGTGCACAATTAAAAATACTAACCACTTTAAAAATTTTCAGTGTTAGATTAGAAACCTCGATTAGTTATTGCTTTTGAGAGTTGACGCCAAATATATTTAAAATTCTTATTCTGTTATTGTCGAAATTACATGGGCTGTCACTTCTGGATGGTGATTCTGGGGTTGACTTCGTTTTTTAGTCACTGATTGTCTGCAGAATGAAAAAAAGGCTACGTGGATAAGTCGTGGCCGTTTATTAATCCACTTGACAGTTGACGTCAAAAGTTAGGTTAATGCTGTTCCGATTGGCTGCTAGATTATAGGCACTAGGGGAAAATCAGTTCATATTATGTGAACACAGTTTCTGTATTCGACGCCACGCAATGCTACAAAGTCCTTTACTCGTCTGCTCTAAGCCGTTGGCTGGCATTACTTTAAAGAGTTTGCAGAATTGTCACACCGATCGGCGCACTTGCACCCACTTTCGCCACCCACCTAAATGAACATAAGTTTAGGTGTATTAATGCGTGGTGTTTCTCCAAATTTACGCATTCGTGCCCTTTGATACGGCAGCCACACGATCTACACCTGTGTTGGCTCCCAACGATTTCGAAAAGTGCAAACTAGTCTTTCAAAAGTGTTACGTCAATAACAGCGAGAACTTGTGGATGTTCCGTTTAGTGTCAAGCATAGTAGTGCGTACAAACCTCTTATCACTTGGCTCAAAGTTACGACGCTGTTCGAACGAACCTAACCAAGAAGGTGCGCATGCTAGCCAAAACTCCACCTAAATACTAATACTGTAATCTTTGACATTGATTTAACGAAGCCTTCGTGACTAAACATCAAGGTTTTGCAGATATTTACAATACATTGTCACATTGGCCACACCCTGAGCACTACGAGCCAGAATCGAGAGAATACAGGATTAGGATATTTTTTTAAAAAATTATGACGATCACTATCAGGAGCGGAGATCAACAACTCACTGTTTTTGATAATCATGATTACGAGATTACTCTTCAATGGAAGTGAACGCTTTTACTGATGGCAAATACATGTTATTAAAAAATGTATTTGCCACGTATTGATTTTTTTCCGCATGAACATCTAGATAGGATCGAGTGATTGAAAAAGGAGCATACACTTTTGGCTACAGATGTCTCTAATTAAATCACTTACTTCGTTGTGAGCCAATATTGCCTCAAAAAAACATTCGAATGAAAAAAGGCTGATTTTCAAAATGGAAAATACAATGTTACAAGTTCGCATAATTACATTACGTGAGTTTATAAACGGAATGTTAGGATTGCAGCACAGAATGGTTAGACGTTTGTTTGGGTCACACTCCTGGTCTCAGGATAAAAAAACATGTGATTTGATTGATTTAAAAAAGGACGATTTCAAAATAAACGGTAAACTTAGCTCTGGGCGGAGTTCAGTATTCACATCATCTAGAATTTTGTGTACAATCCACAGATTGCCACTGAGGTGATAGCTGACATACAAAAATGTTGGCAAATCGACAGCCATCGCTGATTTAAAGCGATGTTGATGCACCTCAGAACACAATAGATGAATTCCACAAGTTTTGACAGAACAGCACAAACTAAACGGTGTTTCCACAGCCATTTCTCACCTCGCCTGTCAACAAAACCAGCCTTTCCTTGATCAAGTGGGTCGTGAATGAAAAAACAGTAAGAAAACGAAGTTAGAGGCATGGAAATGAAAGGACAGAATCAAGGGCAATGACTGAGTCACCACATCCAATGAACATGTCATTATGCGTATGGCCAGGGGGACCACAAGGAAAACCTTTTTTTACGAGCTCCTTTTACGTGACCAAGCAATAACTGCGGAGGAATGCTGCTAGCAACTCATCCAACTAAGTACCGGAATCCAAATAAAACGTCCAAATTCGATCAATTAGAAAGGCACTATCTTTTACCACAACAATTCTAGGCCAAACGTCACTCAACGGAAACTACTTAAATTTATGGAGTTAAAGTAGGCAATCATCCAGCATCCGCCGTCTTCTAACTTAGCCCCTTAAATTTGTATCTGTTGCTGTAAAATGCCATGAATTGAGAAAATATTTGAATCTTTCAAAAAAAGTCATAAGATACCTCAAGACTCGCTTTGAAGAGGAACCTTCAGAGTTTAGACAAAGAATGAATTCATGAACTCGAGATGATGGATAGTACCTTTCTAATTATTAAATACTGCATTTAATTTGGTTCCAAATAGGACACGAACTTGAACAATCGCCCAGTATGAAGATGAGTTTATTGTGCGAGTTTATTGGCTCATCCATTGAATAAATCCATGAATTTAATTTGTAATTTTCAGTCACCAGGAGGTGACTTCAGCTTCGCATAATCCATTGAAATGGTTTATAAAACACGATTCCGTGACGATTTTTTACCATAATTTTATCACAGTAACGTCACTCGAGAGCATGCGTCATGACGAAAAGTTTACGCAAGGCAACTTGCCACCTCCAACTCCATGCGCAAAAATTAATACCTTGCGCATCGCGTTTTCATTAGGTCCATATTCTGATGATACCTTCAGGCATTATCAGAGGCGAGTGAACATACCGAGGAAGAGAAGCAAAGAGGTAGACTGTAAACTCAGTGTTTCCGGCATGATGACGCGGAGGTAGTTGCGGGGTCAACAGACTTACAACAGGTTTAACACCTCTACTGAACTGGTTCTGTAATTAACCAGTTGATGTTGATTACTTAGAGCTAGTGCCTAAGTAAGCATACGGTGCACCCAATCTGAGAGAACAATTTGTTGTAGTGGCTTGCCAAGTGTGTGGCTGTCAGTACTAACCAGCTCGTCATTTGTACATTAAAAGTACACCAACAGATCAAGTATTTTCTAGTACATACGTTGTCTTACTACTAGTAAAGTCGAACTCAAATCCAGCAAAGTCAAAATTAGTTTGCAAGAATCATGGTAACAAAACTTCGGAAAATATTGTGGAGGCAATTTTGTTGAAAGTGAATAAATTAGTATATCTACCTCTCAGATAACTTAAATAGTGGATGATAAGTAGCTACGGGGTTTTATAATATCCTGCATTGGAGCAGTATGTCTAGCTTCAGAGAATTGAATCAAACCAAAACAATTTCGCCATTACGAACACCAAGACAATAAACCCACGGGACTAGAACCAAATTTAGTTTTTGGAAATGTCTAATAATGAGTTTTTTTCTGAATCAAATGAATGACATGCACCCAAATTAATGTATAACGACTATGCCTAACTTTCGATTCGGCTGCAGGGAATCAACAATTGTATTTCTGATCATCCATTCCATGAAAATGCAAAGGACTAGACAAAGTGGAATCACCCCCTCAGAACCAAATCAAGGCCGTCAAATTCCAAAAATGACCACTAAGAGGTTAAATACACGTTAACTTTTATGAAATTGCTGGAGGGTCATCTATGGGGGATTAGGAGCTTATCTTATACAAATGCATTCGCCGATTAACGGTCAGCTGAGCTATATTATGATCACTTGAAGAAGTGAAATTTTGAGTGAATTAAAGTTACTGAATACGTGAAAACATGCAAGCCATTTATATTTCCGAAAACCGGATCACATTAGTATTAGAACATAATTAGATCTTCAACGGAGAATTAACGGAAATGTGTCCCTGCCTCCTCCCATTAAAAGCGTCGACGGAATAAGCTAATAAACACGATGAGCAGAAACGTCAAAACATACATTAAGGGCCATTCAGAAATAACCATGCCTACCTCTTGGTGTTTTCTAGGGCTTTTTTACTAAAAGATTCGGTTCAATAAGCTCCTATTACAAAAGTTTTGCTGGAGCGGAGCAATGCTTAACCGGTACATATGACGACACCCCACCTCAAATTTTCCTAAAACTTCATAACCCAAATTAAGTTGACAATATCAGTTAAAGGTGCACACTTGAAGTAATTGCTTCTTCGTATCATGATCCTAAAAATTAGCCTTATAATCGGACAATGAACTTCAATTGTGTCATCAGCGCCAGACGTGTTGATTTCCAGAACCTAAATATGATCGCCAACAAGATTGCCTACCTCTCTCAGTAACCTCCCGAAGCTATGAACGTGCAAGATCAAGTCCTGGGAAGCAAACTTTATGCCCCACCCACCTTTCCTGCTCGAGACCACCAATTCAAAATTCTCTAATAATAGCTTCCATATTTTGCATTGTGACAAGTCCGCCTAATGTTACCTAACATCTGAGGTTTCCCCACAATCAGTACGAAAATTCGGTGTGAAATGAAGCGATTACTAAATCGCCACCGATAAAATGTGCGAATCCATATGATGGAAGCCAAACCGTCTCAAAACAGGGACTTCACAAAAGAACAGGACACTAAAATCGACCCCCTAGCAACAGTAAGCAAAGTGCCAAGTGCACGGACCCACAAATACCAAAACGGATTTCAACAGTCTAAACATATTATCAGAACCAATTGCAACAAATAAATGAGTGTAAAAAGAACGCATTAATGAAACCATTTATGACGTAAACTGATGCAAACACCAATATCGGGTTCGGATGGCCATTAAGCGGATTAGCGCAATGCAACAAAGTACCACGATCCACTACTACTGGCGCTCCGCCTTTTTGGTCGTTTCAACTTGAACGGAGCCAATTGAATCACTTGGGTGGCTGACAGGTGCATTTTCGACGGAACCATTTGGAGGATTAGTTGCCCGCTTTTCTAGGACGGCAATGCCTTCCTGGACCTAAAAATTAATCATAGTAGAAATGATTTCAATGGAAACTCAAAATCAGCTTGAGTCAAGACAAAAATACCTTTTCGTGAAGAATGTCGTCAGACTCGAGCATCCTCACCAACTCCGTAGCGTCCATTCCAATAAGCATCCCAGTAATCTTCCCAGCAAGATCCGAATTGATCTTCTCAACTTTCCGGAAGATTTGTTCGCCGAGCATCTGTTTCTGATCCTGCTCAGTTAGGGCACCCACGAACGCACCGGCTTGGTCGCCAACACCCGCACGCATTGACACGGGTCGCGATTGTCCAGAGACATTCCTGGCGGTCTGATTGAAACGAACATTAGCAGCCGCCGCACCGGTCATGTTGGGCTGCACCATTTGACGAGGAATCTGACCCGCAGAGCTTGGCTGAAATTAAATATGTTTAAATAGCCTGATAGGAATAGATAACTTATAGGAATTTTGCATACCCGAATGCCAGCAGTGACTGTTGCCATCGTCGGCCTTGGCACATTATTTGCGCTACCTAAAACTTGGGCTGGCATACTGGCCCGTTGGGTGCTATACTGCTGTGGACCACCTGCCCCAGGGGCAACCATCGCGGCGCCGGCAGCTCCAGTACCCATACCGCTCATCGTATTGGGCAACATGCTACGCGCCGCACCTTGTCCACGAAATTGAGGATTAACCAAGTTACTTTGCGCAAGCTGGCCCTGACCCATGGCGGCAATCGCACCAGAGCTACCGACATAAGGAGCTCCCATAGCGGGTCGCAAAGCAGTGGCGGCGCCAATGCCAGGTTGCCCAAACGGAACTTGGGGACCACCAATGCCTGGGCGATTCCAACGGGGTTGTGATGTTATAGGTGGTGCAGCGTGGTAAAACCGCTGCGCTGGAGGAAACGCGGGCTGTGCAAAGAAGTTTGGAATACCATGTGCGGTGGGAATATTGTTGAAATTTGCCCTGTACTGAAGACGCTGTTGGTGTTCAGCAAACAGCTTGGCACGCCGATCATCACGGCGTTGCGCAAGGGCGACATACAAAGGCTTACTACCCAAGAGAGAGCCATTTAACGAGATGGCTTCCTTAGCTTCCTCTGGAGAGGTGAAACAGACGAATCCGAAGCCTTTTGAATTCCCAAGACCATCGGTCATCACTTTTGCGCTGGTAATCTTCCCAAACTTACTAAAAGCCTCTTTTAGACGGGCATCATTAACCGAGTCGTCTAGATTTTTGACGTAGAGATTGATACCAGCAGCATATTTCGATAAACGTTCTACACGCTGTTTTTCGAACTGCTGACGTAGGATTTCCTGGCGCTCGGCTTTCCGCTGAGCTCTGTTGACGTAAAGTGGCTGGCCATTGATCTCCTTTCCGTTAAGACTATTGACGGCAGCTTCCGCATGATCAGGGTCAGCAAAGCAGACAAAGCCAAAACCCCTGGACTTTCCTTCGCTATCGCGCATAATGCAAGCGCTTTTAATTTCACCGAACTCGGAAAAGATTTGCTTGAAGCCCTCATCGCTAAGATCTTCAGAAAAATTCTTTACATAGCAGTTGTTGAATTTTTGTTTTCCACTGGCTGATTTTCTTTGATTGCGTGGGATGAATGGACCAACATACACGATACGATCGTTTATCATCTTCCCGTTAACGGCCTTGATTGCAGCTTCAGCGCACTCCTCGTCTTCAAAGTGGATGAACCCGTACCCTTTCGAGTTGCCAGATTCATCAATAGCAATCTAGAAATAGTTAATTTATATATTGACAAACTTTGCAAGAGAGAATTTTGCCGAAGTGTGAGAAAGTGTCATACAAATCCTTTTGGGCAATACTCTTATCAAGGTTCTTGATGAAAATATTCCCGCGCCCAGATTTGCGGAGTGACGGATCTCGAACACACCACATGATGCGGATCTGCCGACCCAGAATATTCTCATAAATAAGACTCTCCAGAGCACGCTCAGCTAAAAGAAACTTTATGGCAAAAACGCCTTACCGTCCTTAGGGTTTTCAAAGTTAACGTAACCGTAACAGAGAGAAGACTGTCGAGCAACATCCCGACACACGCGTGCACTCAAAACGTGACCAATGCTGGAGAAAGTGGCGTATAACATAGATTCCGTCACAAGAGGGTGCAGATCCCCAACATAGAGAGACGTCTGAGGCAAACTCTGAGTTTGTGCGGTTGAAGCAGCCATTAGAAGTTTTTTGGTTTACAAGAATTTTCAATTTTTTTTTGTCGTTTCTTTTACCAAGTCGACCACACACGCCCGTTCATACAGCTTGCCCAGTGATGAGGATTCGCAATGACTAAAACAACGAATTAACAATTATGGTAATGAGATATTATTGTATTGCTTAAAGTAGCAATATTGTCTCTTATAACAATGTTTAAAATTTTTGATACATGCCAGAATAGCTTTAATTGCATTATAGCAAATAATAGGTGACTTGACACTGTCATACCCCAATAAATCTGCAAAACATTTCTGTAGTGAACATTTCCCATTGTTGATTGTCTCGCGATAGTAAACTACAGTGTACTTCTGAAATGTATTGCTATTGTGTTAGTTTTCAGTTCATGCATGCATAAATATTGCCAAATCTCTACATTTGCAACATATTTGTTGTTCTCGCATTTTTCAAAAACTTTGCCACTAAACAGAGTTTTGCTAAATTCTATCTACTAACCGCGTTGTGTGTAATAGATGCAGTGAACTGTAAATTATTGAGTAATATACAGTAGCCACACATGCATTGTCAAAATTATTACTATCTTCACGATTGCAACTACAGAATATGGGTTTTGTTCCTCCTTAGAGACTGTTTATTTCATTCGAATAAGCTGATGTCGTGATCTGCCAAAAACTATACCAAGAAATCGTCCAAATCCTTGCGCGTCTCTTCAGGCAGCACCCTTCGTTGTTGAAAATAATGTCTTTAACACTTAGAAGTAGAGTTTGATGACTTCAGATACTCTTAAGCTGTGGTCTATCAACAATGCGACAGACGTAAGTTTAAATTAAGTCCCTTTTAAACCTAAACTTTTCGAAAAGAATGGAAATACTGCCTCCAATGGAGAAATTTGCATCACGACTTAAATATAGTCCGATCTGGGGCCCGCAGTGTCCCAAAGTCAATTAATGTGGGCAGCCATCCAAATTTTTCCCAACTTTGGCTCACACATCCCTTGACAACCTAGGCCCGACGGATTATATACTAGAACAAATCATCTCAGGAGAGCAAAGACGACTCCTTTGTCGATTTGTTGGAAGTGGGAGACCTGGCACGTTGGTAGGCTTTGCATTGTTAGTTTCATCAATGCACAAGCATTTGGCATAGGAATGGGGACTACCAATAAAAAAAGCCAGGCGACACCCTTTAGAACAAGAAACGCTAGAACTCAAAGGACCTCACTCAGCTTACGAAGGCAATACCCGGCAGCAGTGTGAGTATACAACCATTTTCGTTAATGACCATCAGTAAGTTTGCAGCTAAGCATGGCCTCAAAAATTAATAGCTTCTCAAAGAAAAATGACTTCCAATGGTAGCTTTTTAGTCAAGCCTGCTTATCAGACAGCCATAAATGCTCATGGCAAAGAAATGCAACTCTTGGGCGAAATACAGTGCAGTTACACCAACCACGGTGCCAACTTCGATAGTTCATATCATATAACTAACACCATACTGAAATTCATCGGTCCGGATTTGTTCAAACAATTTGGGCTTCTTCGATTTCACAATCAACTCCGTTTGTCTGAAACCTTAGTACCCACAAACATCCATTAGCAACAACCCAATTGCTAAATGACAGCTATGGCTACTGGACGCAAATTGGCAAGCAAGTCACAGACATTGTCAAGTGCTACTCATAAAGGCAGCAGGCCACCAAGAATCACTTCAAAGTTTCTCTTACACCTTAGCCGCAGAAGCTATTGTCCCACGTCTACATCGACTTTGCGGAACCCATCAACTACATTTAGTACTTTGAGTTGGCGGACATCAGCTAAAGGTGATTGGATATCGTTTCTACAATTCGTCTCACCACAATCAGGACATTATAGGCACTGATATAAATCTTCAGCTGTATCTTAATTCTGAAAATCATTTTGTCCAACGACGGTTCCCAAGTTATCCCATAACAATTTCGGGGTAACACCTCATCACGCACATTATTTTAACAAAATACCACACAAAGTTACACGGACAAACTGAATGCTCCATTGACACACTGAAGTGGTCGATTCTCACATATTGTGAAGAAGGAATGACACCAGTCGACTGCCTAGAAAATCTCTTCCTGATGCATTGAAAACACCTAACGGGGCACTTTTCGAATCAGAAAACGTCGCCAGAGTTGCTTATGGGTATAAAGCTTCGAACGACAAATTCTACCATGTCTTCAGTACAGCCTAAAATCATGGAGCCTCCACAAGACGGATCTAGTGTTATTTACTTGCACGTTCAAGACTACCAACCAATACATGAGCCATGAATCAAGGAAAGATCATTGTCGATGTGATAGTGGGTCGCAACACGTTGTCACTGCATCGAAGAAAAGGCTTCAAGGCACCAAACCGGTATCCCGCCATATTTGTCTTATTTCGCCACCTTTCGGTTGCTAACACGGACGGTAGTACCGAATGAACTATCAGACTGAGGCCAACTGTCTGTGGACCGGCCAACTCCCCCCCAACGCGAAGTCGAAGACGGCGTAAACTTGCACTACTCCAACTCGATCCAACAAAGAAGTGTCAGGGATGTCGACATTCGCCGGGACATCTTTTTGAAATCGAGGCTGGTAACTGTTCGATTCACAAATGTTCTTTTAATTGTCACGCCATATTATAGTCAAACAGACAGGTCGTATGTTAGTTCATTGGGTAAAAATTGCACAAGGCATTTATAAGTTGTTAATTCTAACATATTACTTGCCCCTGGCTGAGATAGTAAGGAGCTCTCCACGAGGTCGTGTTAGGGAAGGGGAGCCCTGCGTCAGGCTAAAGATTCGTGCCTTGGTTTTCTGAGTGAATATTTATTATTACAGGCAAGAATGCCGACTTTCATTCATGCGATTAACATGGATGTAGCTTGAAGATGCCAAACTGCCATATTAAGTCGGCAGTTCATAATAGCCACCTAGTTACCTCAAGCAATCACGACGATCATGTACCTCATTTTTTACGTCCCGTCTCAGTTTGGTTTAAAATGCAGATTTTTAACCAAGTCTTGAAGGATAAGCAAAGTCGGACGAGCTTTTTAATAAAATAGACTGCGCCTTTCCATCAGTAAAGACGCGGCTGAAGAAATGCATCTAGATCACAAAATCTACGAGCGTCTGGTTCAAAAGAAAATGTCTTTTTCTCATCTCCCGACACTGGAATAACCCTCGTACACCTCCCAAAGCGGTGACCCACTCGGCTTGAGTAGATTTTCATGACCCTCAACGCCATGGGACTAAACCCACTTTAACTGTGAATACCTCAGCAACTAATCAAAGACGGTCATTAACCAGCGATCCAAGGATGAGGAATCGTTTGTACCTCTGAATACGTCTACTTTAAAGCCCCTTTTTAAAAATCCAACCACTCACGTAGCCACACTAGTGGCAGTACTGTTGTACGTTCACTGCAATCCCTAGGCGGACATCAATTCAAGGGCTTTTAAGGATATTCGTATTTTCAGGTTTTCGAAAAACTAACCTCGCATTCACAAACAGTTGATAAATTTGTATTTACAACTATGTTAAAACGGCGGAAATGCCTTGCACTGGCATAAATCAGAGGCATAGAACCAGAGCCGAAGAAAGAACTAGAGGGGAAGAAGCGCAGACAAAAGCCAAGGCCATTGTTTGTTTACTGATGCATTGACAATACAGCAGTGTGTTCGGATGGGATGTCGTTCAAGTCACCTCACCCGAATGGGCCGCTACCCAGGCCGGGTGGTCAGCCTCAATGCCTTCGATGATTCGGTTCACCGACATCCAAAGACCCTGAACTTTAGAACTGGCAGACGCCGGCACGCTCTCTTCTACAAGGTAAACAGAAGCAGTGCGTGGTTCTTGAAGTGTCTTTGCTCGAACAACGAGACATTGAAACGTTTTAGGCCTAACTTTACCTTCAAATCTAGTAAATCAGGCAGGGCAGTTGTTGACTAACTATTCCAGATTACTTTTAAAGACATTTAAAGCAAAATAAAATAGGCCACAGAACTAGGAATTGACATTGAGGGGGGGGGAGATGGTACAAAATGTATAGTAAAAAATTACTTTCAAAATACACAACCCCATCGATTTGGTCAATTTGAGCTATCAAGCGATCCTCACAGATCATCTGTGCAGCGATTGATTCAGCCTGAAAAGAAAGTCATCCGACTAAGCAAAGGAAAACAAGCAAAATATTTGTGAAACAAAAGTAGGTTACGTAGCGCACCTTTGTTATCACGAATAACGCACTTATGCCTACCATTGGAACAAAAAGGACTTAAATGGAGGACTAGTTGCAAAGCCAACCGCCCACAAAACCACTAGAGACGCTTATTAGGTCAGTATTTGGCAAACCATTGAATGTATTAATGCATCGTACGGTTTATTTGAAAGCGGGAGACACAAATCCACCCATGATGCTGAAGGTTTGCATGTGCGCTGGGGCAGAAGTGTTCGTCTAACAGACATGAGGCCCTGAGACAAATCACAAGGAGGCGCTTAAGCCACCGCACCAACTAATGCCTAAGCAGAAAGGCAGCCACTGCACCTGACTGGCTTCGACCTCGAGCAGTTCGCCGAGATTTTCCAGCGTAATGTTGTTGTAGATGAGGCTGGCAGCGAGCATGTTGTGCTCGACAACAACACGCTCCAGCACATCCTGCAGTTGCTGTTCCCTCTGCTCGCACCCATCACCCTTCACGCTGGCATCGCCTGCCTCGTTAGCGGAGCCGAATAGCTGGGGGTAGTAGTGAATCAGGAGAGGGTGAAGGCTTCGTAGGCTTTCTCGACTTATAAGACGTCTCTTGTACCTAAAGTTGAAATACGCTATAACAACACCAGCAGGAGCCGTTCCGTTGTATGACTGATTCGTCGTCTAGACGCCACAAATGAATTAACACTTTTAAAAACAGACGCAAGCCTTCAATTCAATGTGTAGGGAGAAAATAAATGGGCACTTTCTACCTCCTGCCAGTCTACGTTGAAGGCTACCCCGAGAGGATAAGGTTGCTGTGAATCGTGTTTATACACACTCGATCCGGTCGATCCACCTCCGACATTGGGTTCCCCTTTTCGCAGCATGTCGTCAGCCGCGCGGATCCTCAATCCCCCCCCTCATTCACACTATTTATCTTTGGTTATCCCCACACATAGGTCTCGATGTTGGCGCATGTATGACTCACACATCCGAGGTATAAATACACACGCAAACCCCACACACGACACGACGACACCAACGGGGTTGAGCTCTGAAGTAAACGGTTGTGTCCTGTCCTTTCCAGTCTTTTTCTTCATCACGGGTGTTAGGCAAGCGCAATCGGGCCCCGGCGTGGTTCGAGACCACATGCTGGGGCCCACAACAAGGTCTTGAAAACAGTCAAAATAAGCTAACGAGCACCGATATTGTCCGATAACGTCACACGTTAGTTGGGGTGGTAGTAGTAGTAGTAGAAAAGTTAAGGAATGCTTCCGTCACAGATAAAGACGTCGACAAGGCGCACATCCAAGCGTGATTTGGGTAAAGCAATAGGCAGCCGCGGACCTACATCTTCTCGAGTATGGGGAAGCCCTGAAGGGTCTGACAACGCTCATCCTTGTAGAGGGAGGCCAGGAGGCGTGCGCGTTGGTGTCCAGCACCGGCAAGCAGGGCCGACAGGAGGGCCCGCTCCAGGAAGGTCGTCCTCTCGGCCTCAGATGCAAGGCCCCGGAAACGAATCGATAACTCGGCGTAGCGCTGGCCAGCTTCGAGGAATTTCTTCTTGAAATCAAGTAGACGCGCATACGCAGTCTAAGAAAAAAACACAAGTGTTTTTGAATAACGCAAACATTCGTAGTTGTCGCAGTTTATGGATCTTCGATGTTATTAGTCGATCGAATTTACTACATCAGAGTGAAGATTTCTGGAATCGACATTAGCACCACATTGCTTGGAGAATGTGGAGAATGCATTACAAGGTTTTAACACTCTGTAGCCTAATTCGAGAAGTTACGAAGGTCAGTTACACGGGACGGAAAATGGCAGTCGTTGAAGCACTAAATTCCGAATTAGTTTGGCGGTGCCCCATGACTAGCTCTGAGTGACCCCGAGTCGTTAATGAACATCCAGGAAGATTACCACAGCCGACGAAGTTTTACCATTTGCAGTTCAATAAAAGTGGACCCGATTTTACCGAACTTGGTGAAAAAAACTGCTGTATTTGTTAACTGGTAGATTGCAATTTCGTAAATGAGGCCTTTCTTTACATCTCGACTCAAAGTCACGTAAAAATTGCAAAAAGATAATGCACATGCCCACTACTACAAGGCGTTTCCTATTGGCTGACAACGATGGTGGGTGCCAGCTGCCAGAGTTTTCAAAACGCAAAGCAGCCTAATTTTAATTGGTGAGAAATAAATAGACATTATAGGAATGAAAGAACGTGCGTGAATACGTGGCGCCGTAAGCGGGCAACCAAGGCAAGTTAAACTTTCACCAACATTTTGCTTCTTTTAAAATCCCATTGGTTGCTTAGTCATTTATACAACTAAAGTCAAACAAAATCCGCATTAACCCTCTGTCGAATAAGGGCAAAAAGGCTTGAAAATAAATGGAAGCTAAAAAAGCACAAGAATTATATGTCACGGTCGTAATCCACCGAAAATAACCGATGAGTGGAGACAATATAAGTGAAAGGCCCACACAATTGTATCTAAGCAGGACTAGTGGAACAAAACCAAATGTATGGCCGTTGGAAGGTACAGGATAACTACATCGCATGACTTTCAACTTAAACTGAACGTCGATTGGTCAAGAGTGTCTGGACGATCTCTTTGGATCCATATTGACACAATTTCATGGCTTACATACAGTGTAAAGTGCAAATATCGGGAAAGTGCTGGCATCTGGAATAAGGGAAGACAAGTATTTACCTTGAAGCGCATAATCAGCTTTTGATCCTTGCATTCATTCTGAAGCAGAGAAGCCCGATTTACATAGACCTCCGCCTGCGTCGGGTCATTAAGTTCGAAGTAAGCCTCCACCATGCGAAGGTATATGTCCAATTTGTAATCGTTTGAGTAGATCCTAAGCAATATGTCACGTAGCACAGATGTAGCTCCAAAATACACTGAAACTCGGTAGCTATGAAATATGTTTCATTCATGGATCCGAGTAAAGTTTAAGGCTAGAATCAACATAACTCACAACAGACCAAAGATAATTGCAAAGGATAGGAAAAATACAGGTTTTCCTAGGCCAGCGATACGAAACTTGTTTTGAATTCGAAGGAACCTCAATCACTGAGACGTGATGGTGGTGATGAAAGCCTGTTTCAAAAATGAAGTAGCATCGACAAACCCCTGATGCATTCGTGGTTTTTAAATTAGACGCCTTACAATAGCCACGTGAACACGTAAAATGATACACTGCCGCGCAACTGGTTAGTTACATCTTTTATTAACTGGAACCAATTAAGAAAAGTGTCACTGGGCTACTTTACTGAGCTACGCAGTAAAAGCGTTTAATAAAATACATTAAGTAGGTAAGGTATTTACCGCTGGCCACTTTCAAGGGGCATTCCAGACAGCACAGCAACGGCCTCTCGAAGATTGCCAGTCTTTGTAAGGCGCTTTGCCAATAAGTCCCTGAGTTGTGTCAGCTAGAATGGCATTAACACTTCAGCGATGAATGGCAGTGGTTTACCTGAGCCTCAAAGGCGATAACGCGAGACTCCATTCTGGAGAGCAACTCCTGAAATGCCGTCACCGCCAAATCACCATCAGGCAACCCGTCAATATAGAGGATCAGTTCTGCACAGATCTGTCGAGCTGAAATAACCGCCACCGAGCCTTGAGAGACTAAATAAGCACAATGCATAACACGAGTCAGTGACAATGGTCTGGTGAAAGTGACTGACCAAAACGATTTACGCAATTGTGAGTGCAATTGGAGATTTCAGGTGAAAGCATAATGACGAGGATTCTGGCAACTTTGTAACAGAAACATGGCTGGGAAAAGAGGTTCACAAGAGAGCGAAATTTAGGGGCAATGTAGCAATGTAGTTATTTCGATGATACACAGGACTGCTAACTGGATAAAACCTCGAGTGTTATGAGAAATGTTTTAGGTGGCGTCTAAGAATGAATGGAAAATTAATTGAGCATGTGATCTAAATAATGTAAATATGATTAAAACTAAATTTTTAGAAAATTTACATGCACACTTGTATGTCGATAATGCACTTACTCGAGTTAGCAATTTGGGAAATATATTCAATGAAAGAAGAGGTCGTTTTGCCATCTAAGCAAGCGAGCAGGAGCTTGAATCTAGAAATTTGAACAAAATCAGAAAAATGTAAGAACCCACTTTTCGACAGCTTGCTCTGGAACTTTTTCGGCTATTATGGCCGCCATGTTTAAACGTATTTCTTCACCTGAAATCATTTTACCTGGAAGACAAAGAAAACCGTAAAACCACTATTAAAAAACCAATATATCAATTGCTTAATTTACCAGTACTGGCATAGTAAGAAATAAAACAGGTAAAGGCACTAAAGCAGGGTATATCGAGAATGTGAATCTGTTAAAAGGAGGCAAATGAGAGGCATCAAATCACACGAAGAATTTTCATACAAGCTAGGTATCCGTTTTAAAACTCGTGGATATGCCACAGATAGGACAGAGGAATAATACAACTAAAATTGACACTTGGCGGGCCAACATAAAAGGGGTGTGAATATATTTGTATACAATTCAGTTACAGAGCTTGTAAGGGAATGCTTCGGAATGTTTGATACCAAAGATATTTGCATTCAAACCGGTTAAGGATATTCTCGATAACCAAAGCCGATTCAAAGTAAAGTACCGGAGAGAAGAAAATCCTACTAGACAAATTATTTCGTTAAGTTACACATATAATCAGAACTACCACTGTGATTCTAGATACAGAGCGAATTTGAGTAGCACTCAAATTAAACTTTTTCAGAGCTATAAAAATGAAAATGTCAGTTTGGAATTATTATTTTTACAATAAGTGAACGGCACCGATTATAAAAACCAAGGATCTTCAGCCCACTAAATTTTAAAATTACCCAGGAGAATATTAGTGAATTCAAATAAGATTAATGCTACCGCAAACCGATATTTCCTATTTCTAGTATTAGAAAGTCATAATTTTCCACTTAAGAAGTAAGGCAATACCGATTATTTATTAAGAGGGTCCTAAGACCATAAAAATCATACCTGGAGACCTTGATAACACAAATTAGGAAATAAATATTATGTAAAATGTTTCTTTCCCTGTAAACCACATAGCAATGTGTGATTATGGTTTTATCAACATAAATAAAAGCTGATATTATATCTAGTGCAACGGCGAGTAACATTCTAGGGTTAAATGAGAATTTGATTTGAATCTGTTTCCAATGTTGTTAATGTATTTTATATCAGATTTCATAATAAATTTTAGTCAAACAATCCGATTTGAGGTTATACAAAAAGTGTTATAGTTAGTCAAGTTGTGTGGCTCTCTTTAGTAACAGACTTTTTGTGTGACAAGAAGGATTCTCCGTTTTTCCATATGTTTAACATTTCTTTTACGTTTTCACGATTTATTCGCGCATTTAATTAGCGCTATCTGCGTGCTGATCTACATTGTTCCAAAGTGGATGTAGCATTTCTATATTTGACTTCACTGCTATTTGAACATCCGACTTATAGGTTAATTTATTTTTTTCTCATGTCTGCTCAATCACTTCTAAGACCATTCGAGCACGCGAAAATAACAGAATCTTAACGCAGTCTATGGGTGATCGCAACCTGAGATCTTCTATTTTTTATAGCACATAAAACTTTATTTGAAAAATTGAAACGAGTATGCATCTCTGATTCTATGAACCCCATTGAACATCATCCCCCTTTATTTGGGAATATCGGAGTAAGCAATTTGGAGTTGTCGAAAATGCAACAGGCACTAATTTATGCATTATTTTTGGGTTAAAGCTACTTTTCTGAAAACCGTAAAATGTTCTTTTCCCATAGAATACCTAAGCCCTTGTGTGAGGGAGGCTTTATTGATTGATCAACCGTCGGTTGAGGTGCATCTTCGTTCCCCATGCATTATATGGTGCTTCGTATTAGCCTGTGTCAGTGGTTGGGTGCTGATGCACCTAGAGGACCAATTTTAGTCACCTTGATTTAACCCTGAGAGCACCCAGTCCAATTGCCGTTCACTTAAAAACGATATTGTAAGCCCATTAGAAATTGTGCACACATTGACTTTCTTCAACGTGCTCAGTCGATTGCATTTTATATCAGACAAAATGTTCTTATTACTTTGGATATTCAGTTAAAGCTACATATTTATAAAGCAGTGATCCCACAACTTATAAGATATGCAAAAGTTCTTCTCTGATAGACCTTTTACAGTTACATTTCAAACATCTTTCAATAAAGGAACTTTGTTGCCTTTCTATTTCGACTTGTTGGATAACTTCATCAGAACATATCTTACTCAAAATTCAAATGTGTGGTATTGGCAACATTAAATGAGTAACATGAATACCACTCTATGCAGTTCCCTCGGTACACCAAAGTGTTTAATTTCTGTTCTCATCATAAATTGCAGGGATTTCATTTTAGGAAGTTTTGAACAATAAAAATGATGAGGAATTAACAAATGTAAACATACATCTTTAAAAATCCATTGTATTATGAATAGTAAAGTGCCATATGTCTAACAATTTTGTTTGAAACAAGGTTAGTTATTAGCATTAGGAAAACGTTTTTTGCATTTCTTTAGCTATTTTTGTTCAATATACCCTTACTTGAGTCCTGTAAGTTACAATTTTTAATGTAGATGCAAGTGAGGAGAGTGGACTTAAAACTTGTTGCCTTTTTCAGAAGACACAACAGTGAGGAAAATTACAGCGTTCAGCCAAAAGCTCAGTTATATATGATTTTCCAGGCCGAATTTATTGTTAGATGACACAGTTCTGTTACGTGAATACAAAACATCGAGTGCTTCTTAGATTGTTTCATTTAAAAGTGTGTTGTAAGTAACTTACCTCGTAAACTACGAAGGTGATTAGCATATTTTATTACAGGCCTCGTCCCGGTTGACCTTTCTCTCAGTTTTTTCTATGACAGGTTTGAAAATTAGAAAGCCGGAAATCTAATTCAGATAATTTATTGATCATCCAGCAACAAACATTCACAAAACAGAATTAAATGTCTAGAAAATTGCTTAAAATTAGCGTCAAATTGGTCCTCGTGGATAGGAAATCATCAGTTCTCAGACTTCAATACCTTCGTAGCAACTTTACACAGAATACTCCCTTGGTTACATGAAAAGCCGTGTGATTCGAAGAACTTGACTGCATCCACGTGGCAATTGGTAACGTAGCCCAACTCTTCAGCAATGGCCTGGAAATAAAATGCGGTAAAGTCAAAATTTAATTGACACTCAATTATTAAAACACAATAAACTCAATTTACTAGTCTCCTCAAAATATTCGTCTTTATCATTTGGCTGAATGGTCACTTTTAGTGCTAGTTTACCTAATAATGGTGAGTTTGTACCAACGATTTTCTAAGTCCCTCTTGTCGAAAATTCCCTTGATTTTACTTCAAATTCTGCAATCTGCTTTGACTACATTATATGTAAATGTGTCAGAGCCTAGATTTAAAAATTAAAGCGGTACACTGTAGCCAGACCTATATAAGTTCTATTGCCATTAACACCTTCACCTATTTCGTTTAAACTGCTACCGCAGATTGTTTTTTATCGCATGACCTTTGTCCAAATTGTAACTTTTAGTGGCAAAGTGGTGAGATGGTAACAAAAACGAAGATGTCAAGGATTAATTTTAAAATAGCAGTGTTGGCCCAGATAGCATTCTGCCTTTTTTTCTTGTTGTTAGAGTCTGAAATGATGGTAAGGCGATGTGCATCTGGGGCCATTGCACCGTGCGCCGATTCCTGCCTTCAACCACGAATAAACGTTGTAGACATGATTCGCTACATTTACTGTCCATTAGACAGCAAACCATGATGCTAGCAACTTGTGTGTTTACGATTTCTGTATATAGTTAACCCATGCCAAGATAAGCAGGGTGCTAAATTTAATGCGAAACTGGTTGAAAAGTGCAAAATTTACATGGTTTTTAAAGTGCACTCTTACCTGAGTAACTAATGATGTGTTGACGGATCGAATTGCGGCATAGCCCAACCTCGTTGCTCCGGCAATAATCTCTTTCTCCATTAGGATAATGAGGTGGAGACGATCTTGACCTACTAGTTCATCATGGAGAGTGCCAGCCATTGCTATGTCCATGTGCTTTACTTTATCTCCAAGACTGCCCGCCTCAAGGTCGCAGGTTTCGAAAAATTCTTCGACAAGAAGGTATTTTGGATCTTCTACACCCGGACTAATAGGGGCACCTGATTCCAATGTAATTGACACGGCTGAGACATCACAAAGGAGGTCTTTCAGTGGACTGTCGGGTTTCTTTTGAGTGAAACCCGCCAAATACACTAGCCCTGGGAATTCTTCGAGTTGACGAAGACGGCCTAAGACAATCTGTCTGAGTGTGACTTCACTTAGATTCAGCACCTTTGTCACTTCATCAGCCTTCGTAAATGATTCGACAATCACTTTGGCAATGATGTCTCTGCACTGAGCCTCAAGATCCGATTTGACAGGAAACGTTTTTCCAGGCTGATATTCATGAATAAATGATCTTCTTTCGATACTGACTGGAACTTGGCTTGTCGATTCCCGACCACTGGATAGCAAAGTTAGGAGTTCTCCAATTCGACGACTTTGGACAAAATGTGTTAAGTTGACTTGAAGACCAAGCTTTCGTAAGTCGGATACAATCAGTGCCGCCTGAAACACGTAAAAAACCTGATGTCAATTGGAAACATGTGCTGCGGTATTTATAAGACAACAGACACAGGAGGGCAGTGCTCAGCTCCTTTTCTTGGAACTACAATTTTCTGGTAATCATTTCGTATTTTTACCTATAGGGTGCCTAATCAAACGTTGATTTTTACATAAAATCTCTCAAATCGTTTTTACCAGCCGCTAAGTTAAATGTCTGATCGTCAAGTGAACAATTAGATTTATATTAGTCGTCTCTCCCAACCACAATTTGTATAAGCAATTACATTTGGTAAGTGAACGATTCTCAAGATTCTAAAATATTAATAGACATTGTGTGGAGTTGGATTGTTCAAAAAAGAGCGGAAGACGTTTATCTTGAAAATGGTGACACAAGTACTAGGTAACCATAAATTCAAATGCTCGAAATCTTACTCTAATTTTCTAATATTACTTACACACTTGAAACAAATGACAACAATGTATTTTACCCATTCCTTCAGAAAATGGACGCAGAAATGTAAAGTAGTCGTTGCAAAACCTACACTTGGTTATTTCCTGGAAGTGCGCAAATGATAATATTTCATTTCCCCAACATCTGCTTCATGCATCAAGATTAGATCATTTTAGCAAAAGACGTCTTAATAAATATCCCCGGACGTGAGTGTTCAGATGAAATCTGAGTTGGAAATGTACAATTTTGGAAAAGTAGCTAATATTTCCTGAACAAAATCTTGCGCAGTAACTTTACTTAGCAGACAACAGCAGAGGCGGTCTTCGGCGCTGCATGGTGTCTGTGAAACTCAAAGCCCATTCTGAATATACCATATCTGCTGATTATTCGGACAACCACCGTGGTGTGGTTTGATACAGAGTGCTGATCTGACCTTTGACACATCCACTCCTTCTCATTCTCACCAAATGACACACTACCGATACAACAACAGCCAATGCAACCCCACCTCCGTTCTACAGGTGAAATTCGCACGAGCCACCTTACCGTGATTGAATCGCCTCCAATCAGGAAGAAGTCGTCGTCGTCACGTGGTTCCCCATTCATCCTCGCTGCGTCCGACAGTCCAAGATGCTTCGCAAATAACCCACGAATCAGTGATCGTTCTCCCGAGGTGGCCTCGCATTTCGATTGCTGGCCATTGGTGTGGGCAGGCTTCATGTCAGAGAAGACGCCTTGCTGGAAATCGCGCCTTAATTTGACTTTATCGATTTTGCCAGACTGCGCTTGAATTGGGAACGAAGGCACCTGGAAATGCAGCAAAGCACATTATAACTGTCAAAAAGCCACAACTAGTTGACACGCGTCATGTCAAATCAGCAATTTGTCTGGTTACTGGTATCTCCAATCGCCCGTGGTAATAACAACATGGCCGATAATTTGGTGCTGGTCACTACATGATTCCTAGTTCACATCACACACAGGCTCACACATATACCTTCACTTGTATGCGCATTCATACTGACATCGAGCAGACCTAACTATTAGGAGCATTAAATAACACAATTCACCAGCCGTGGGCTTTTTGTCATCTAATGGTCAAGCAGAACAGGTTCCCATATTGGACAAAATACGTACTTCGACGAAGGTCACGGAGATGAAAGATGAGAAGTGCTTCTTCACGGCCATGTCGAGATCCAAGGCAGTGAATCCACGCACCGCAGCTGCGTCGCGCTGGAAGAAGCAGACCAGACGCGCACCGCTCCCTCCTTTCTCCAGAGCAATGGTCACGGTAGTGCCCAGCCCCGAAAGTACATAGTCGTGGTCCTTGAGTCGGCTGAACAGTTGGTCAATGTTTCCAGTACAAAACTTCACTCCATTGATCTTCACCATGTCATCCACCCGACCAGTGATGTAGAGCATGCGAGTGTTGGGGCAGATGAATCCAATGTCGCCAGTGCGGTAGATCTGAGAGAAGCGTGAATGTGTGCCGAAAGGATTTGGAAGGATTGTGCGCGTTTGCCTGTAGGAGAGAAGATATCATTGTTAAATATCCCTCCACATGCGAAGATGCAAAATGAAGACAGTTCAAAGGAGACCAGAGGGCGTATACTTAGAAGCAGTCCGAGGTTGTTTGTTCGTCATGCCTACTACCATTCATGACCCTCCGTATGTCTATTTGGAAAGATGTACACGCCTGCTATCTCACGACACTCTACTAATGTCGCAATTAGGATTGAAATTCTGCAGCATCTTGATAACATCACTAAAATTAAAAGTTATTTAGCACGTTAATACGTGACACGGTGATTCGCGTTAGTGAATACGGTTGCCGCAGTCTCACACACACTGTCCCCCTTTCCACATCGTGCCCAGTAGATTAATGGAGGTTGCTGAAGAATACGGCAGTCTGGATGAGGGGCAGGGGGGGGAACATGCACCGGGCTTGTGAGCACACGGTCCTACATGGTTGACGTCCACTCCTCTGATAGGGGGAATGTGTGTCTGAGTCAGCGATAACCAAGTTCAACGACTTGTATCAACACGATTCACTACAACGTTGCTTACCTTCCCATCACCTAATAACTAAACGATCTGATTGCTGAGAACATGTTTGCGACCAAGTAAAGCCTCTGGCAGTGAATATATTCCTTGAACTGCAAACGTCACCACAGTCAGATTCAATTGTCATCTGCAGATTTCATCGATGTGTCAGGACCTATTCATGGCTTTGATAAAGCTGCACACGGATGGCTTGACTGTAACGGAAGTGGATTGCTTCATTTGACCTGTGACACATCACATCAATCGGTCGGAAAGAAACACATTCAAATGAGATGTTACTGGCTAGAGCTTGTCGATGCGACTGAAGCGTGGCAGAGTGAATTACATTGTCCAACCATGTCTAATTATCTCAAACATACACATATCCAAGTTACACAACTGGCATCCTTCTTACTCTGCATTGCTCGAATTCACAATGGGCTCCTCCGTAAGAACACCCACACCTGACACCACCACTTCTCCCACAACGCCTTCTCTGGCGATCGTCATATTCTCTGTGCCATAGTCGCCGCTGACCACGTACACCTCGTTATTGTCGATTGGAGTGCCAACAGGCACTACGAGTCCACCCGTTGGCAGTTGGAAGGCAGTGCGCTCAATGGCTTCTTTGCTGTCGAACGTCACTGCCGTGATGTCGCCCGCTACTTCTGTGCTTCCGTAGAGATTCAGCAGTCGGAATGGTTTGTGCGTGAACACGTCAAATATTTGATTGGCCAGGGAAGAAGGCAGGAGTTGGCCACTGGACACGACTGCTTGAAGCGAGGCGAATGACCCATCCCCCTTCACCAATTGACTCAACCACGACTGCAGTTGCGACGGAACACTCGTGAGTTGAGCTATGTGTAATCGACGAACCAGACTGGCCAGCAGGTGCACATTGGAAACCAGGTGTTCACTTGATATGACCGAACTGCCAGACACAACGATTGACCGCCCACCGAGTAGGGCACCAAACATTTCAGTGAATGCATCCACGAAGAGCCACGAGGTCTTCGCTAGACTTGGTCCAGTGATTGCTGCGAAGGGAGACGTGGGGCTCCACTGCCAGCAGAGGCGGTTGGCCAACTGGCGGTTTCTGAGGGGGACGGCCTTGGGAGTCGGTGAGGTGCTGCCTGATGTGAAGAGAAGCAGGATCACGGGGTTCTCGATGTGTGCGAATAGCGGCTCTGTTGAGATGCGGCAACAGGCGCTGTCGGTCGTCAAGTTGAGGAGGTGAGAGAAGGCGAAGGTAAGGCCGTGGCCTGGATCAAATTCGACCGTTTCGTCGTCGCTGATGAAGGCGACTGGAGCCAGAGACTTCCAAATAGCCTGCAGTCGTTCGGCTGACAGATTGCTGTCCATTGGAATGTATGCCAGACGCAGGTGCATGCATGCTAGCTGAAAGGACGAAAGAGGCGACATGCGATTTGGTTTAATTGCGCTGGTGAGTCGATGACTTGGACACGCGTAACCTCTGTGATAGATGCAGTAAGTCCACTCGACCAGCCATATTACACGACACCAGTGAACGCCTTTTATTACTTAGTAATATTGGCAGCAACAAATTTCAGCCCTGAAGATCAATCGTTCTGTTAAATTGTGTTTAGTACACTATAAAAAATAGCTCAAATTTCCTACCTATCCGCCTACGCCAAATTATTAAGGTGTGTTTAGCAGATCATTGGACAATAGAATTGGTTTAAAAATGATGACATGAAGCGATGACACTTAATGATGTCATATGGTGTTTATCTTGCATTAATTGTTGAGTAAAATCGTCAAGTGTACAGATAGCTGTTAAGACGAGATAAGTAGCATGCGTAAACCGTGCGGGTATAATTTATCTCTGCTGTAGATCACAGCCAAAAGCTTTTAATGAGTAAGCATGGG